CAAAAAAAGAAGAAGATAAAGTATATGTTTTTTTATAGATAATCCTAAATAATCATCATCATTACTCCATGAGCAAACAATAGAACTACCAAAGTTTTCAGAACTTATAATTACTAACAAAGAAATCATGGAAAATAATAAATCGTAAATATGTTCATATATTTGTTTATAAAAAAAAAAATATATATATATATATATAATGTTAAGACTTAGATATTTTAATACTTAACATACATATAAATTTACCAAAAAATAAAAAACGAAACAGAAGGACTTTTGTACTTCATTGTACTTCAAATTTAAATGTAACGTACAACTAATATTGTAATTTTAAATATTATCCTCAGTTTACATACTTTAATCCTAAAAATAAAAATTGAAAATTTAAGATTTTATCTGTGATCCATTTTGACGATTTCTATAATTTTCATTCCAACTTATAACTAATTTGGATATTAGAATGAATACAGTTTTAAAATTAAGTGTACTAAAATTCAATAAAAAGTAATTTAGAGAAGAGATTGGATAATAAAACAATTTAAGAGTAAAAAAAATTTAACAATATTTAATTGATGTATTTTCATATATTTTATTAGTAAAAAAGTTAGATAGAGTTTATTACTTAAATATAAATTCAGACAAGTCAATGAACATAACAGTACAAAACAGTTTTAAATAAATAAACTATTAAAATATAAAATCTGCGCGTAGCTGTGCTTCAATTCTATTTGGTCAATCGTATACTCCCTAAATTTGTTAATATGCAAGTAATGATTATAAATTTTTAATTTCAAACAAAAATAAACTGAAATATATGTTACTATTATAATTTAGTTATTATGTTAAATCTAAAACATATTTATTATTATATGCATTTAATTTTAAAAAAAAATCCAAAATAAACATAAACAAGTTCTAAAATGTTTAAATGTATGTTAGAATGCATATGTGATTAAATTAATTTTTACTTTATAAAATAGTTGAAATTTAATTATGTTATATATACTTTATTGTAATATTTTAATTACGTATGAATTATGTATATATAAGCATTATAAATTTGTTTGTTTTAAAAATAACTTCAAACTGAATACATATTTAGTTGTTAACAAAGTAAAATAAGAACAAATTTATAATATACGCATAAATATTTAAACAATAAACATCTACATTTTCAATAACGAAGATGTTAAAATATTTTCTCAGAATGCAATAGTAGAAAATATATATGTAAGAAAAAACATGAAGTTTACTATTACACTTTTCCCAAGGATTGGAAAAAGAACAATTTGAACATTTTTCCATTCCCAAAATTTAGGCGGACACACGCATAAGAGAAAACGAAGCCGCCCACCTGGGTCGCGTAACAAACCAAAAGGTGTGTTCTTAGCCTCAGACTTATCCAACTAAGTTTTAAATTGATCCTTTAATAGTAATAAAGTTATATCTATTCACAGCTCTTATGATTAATGATCCGCTAACATTCAAGCCAAATTTCTATGACTGTAAGTTTAATGGTTTGCATTACCTTATTGATATCATTACTTATGCATAACACAAGCTGAATCTCAAGTTTTATCGTATAAGTGGTTGCGAGAAATGCGATTACTACGGTATGTAACCATACTCCACTATACATCTCGAACATTTGTAACCTATTTTATTAAAAGAATTTTATCTATTCAGTGTCAACGAAAAATGCACGTAACATGAGAATGGCAAAGTTGTTATCAAAACGAGCTTCAGCGTTGGCTCAAGGTTAGCATCGTAGATAAAAATACCATCTACATTTAATACGCGTAATATATTAATATACATTTTGTAACTGCATAGGCTTAAACGCGCCAGGAAGCTCGCTTGGCTTGCGTCACACCCAAGGGAGGAGAAAAGGTACGTACAAGTTACAACCGTCTAAAGACCTTAACATATGTACATTTGCTAATATGAAAACACAATGGAACTAATACCAATAGCTCTTAGACAATTATAATGAAAAAAACTATTAGTAAACTAAACAATAATATACGTTAATACTAAATGTCACTACACAATTTGATTGATTCGAAATTGTATTCAAAGTAATTTATAATAAGGTAATAATTTCCTAACAACTAATTTGTTACACTCACTAATAAATGTAACCACGGAAAATTAAATTTTAATTGTGTTGTAATAAATATATTATATGGCGTCATATTCAAATAATTTTTTTAGACCAAAATTTTAATAAATTATAAACTAAAAAAAAGTTTTTAAATTAATTACTCTTACAACAATTATTATCCAAAATTATTTACTTATTAATTAGTATAGTAAATAATTTAAGACTCAATACTCTATTAAGACCCAAATATATAAAGTACACTGGGTCATATCAATTATAAACATATGTTTTCCAAATAAAGGGTCCACATCTACAGTTGAAGACAATCCTATCGTAGCATGCTCAAAATGTGACGCATTAATGTGGATTTCAGAGAGCACTGGTAAAGACGCTAAAACAGGTGAACCAACATTCACACTCTGCTGTAACCATGGCCAAATAAAGATTCCACCAATCAGGCAACCCCCAGCGCTGTTAGAAGAACTGCTTCAGCTAAGGTGGTTCCGAGATACCATCCGAGTCTATAATTCCATACTGGCTTTCACATCTATTGGAATGAAAATGGATTATAGTGTGATGCATGCGCCGGGTTCTTACACTATAAGAATTCAAGGTCAGACCCACCATAGAATCGGATCACTTATACCACAACGAGGAAAAATGCCCGAATATCTCCAACTTTACATATTTGATATGGACAACAAAGTAAGGAACCGATTACACGCGATGGGGCAAACATCAACTGAAGGCAATCTCGATGCGACAACCTTAGAGCGCCTCATCAAGATGATTGACAAGAATAATTTTTTGGCGAAAGTTTTCCGCCGAGCACGTGACCACTACGAAAGCGTTGGGAAAAAAATTCATATTAGGTTACTCCCACATAAAGGGAAACAGAAAGAATACGATCTTCCGAGTACAAGCGAAGTCGCCAGCCTTATCGTAAGGGAATATGTCAGAAACAATTGGAGAATGAGATATCGTGGTTCAATTTCAATCTGACACTTTACAGCAGATACGTGATGACCACCCCCTATACATGAGCCTCCAATACCCTCTTATGTTTCCATTTGGGGATTATGGTTTCCAACCCGAGATCCCACTACATCTTGAGACATGGACTTCACAAGGCAATTCCTAACGATACGTCAGTTCTATGCTGCTCAAATACAGACACGTCTTAATCAGGGGCTGACATTGATTAAAGGCGGTCGTCTCCTCCATCAATATGTTATTAGCGTTTACACGGCAATTGAAGAAGACCGGTTACGATGGGCGAGGAATAATCAAGATGTCCTACGAGCAGAGCTCTACAATAATGTCCTTGATGTTGTCTGTAGAGGGCACACCGATGCTATTGACAGAAGTACATATTGCCACCAAGTTTCATCGGTGGGCCTCGCTAATTAGCTATACCATATTAAAAGATATTATGTATAAAACACCTGCTAATATATATTAGCATCTCAGGTTTCCAACATTTTTAATCAACAGTTTTTCTAAAAAATACATAATGATACAATAAATGTTTTTTCTCCTACAAAATAACTCGGTCGTAGCCCAGAAAAAAAGATCTAGTATTATGTAATATTATAAGATTTAGTTTTAAACATGAAAATTTTATGTAATATTTTGTAAAATCTCCGCCTAGTACTAAAGGCCCATTAAATAAGCGTATAAGGAGAAACGTCGGTGTTACAAAAAAAAAAAAAAAAGGGAGAAACGTCGTTGTCGCAATGAGGATTTGATTATTTGGTAGTAGCATAGCAATACTAACAGAACACATGAAAACGGAAGGACGTTCCAACTTCCAGCGAACCTCTCCCTACTTGTATTTACCGAAAGTAATATTTTGTGTGAAGTAAACGCAAAGACATTTTCAACTATATTCGGTTACTAGTTTTTTTTTAATGCACCACGAAAATGTTAACAACTTTCCAATCATGTTTGTCACTTAGTGGGATAATATTTCGACCCGTTATTGAAAAATGAAATTACTATAATATGACTGAACCATTACACAATCTAATCATAAGATGGTCAGTATACTAACCTAGTCACCATCAGTTTTAGCAACAACAACCAACGGTTGCAATCTTCTTTATAAAAAGCTTTATATGACATGGTCACATGGACCACAAACTCATACAACTAAAGCAACAAAACAACCCTAAGTTAGTTGCATTCTTGCTATGGTACGTGCTGAGATCGACACCGGAGCTCCTTTCCGGTCTGTTAAAGAGGCTGTCATTCTCTTCGGCGAAAGGATTCTTCTCGGAGATAATTACATCAATAAGTCCGGAGAGGTAATAATAACTAAATGCATACATGTTTTGCATATAACAACTACGTGTCTATATATCAATTATTAAAATTGTTGTAATGATTTTTGACCGTGTGGTTAGATAAACAATGGAGAGAACGAAGTAAGAAGCAAAAGCATAGAAGCTGAGCTTGATGAAGTAAAGGAGAATCTAAAGAAAGCAGAAGAAGAGAACAAGGTTTTGTCTCAGCTCCTCGCAACCCTCACACAAGAGCTTGAAATGACTAAGGAAAAGCTAAGCCACTCGCTCAGAAAATTCCCTGAACACCCTCAAGTTGAAGATGACCTCAAATTTGTAGAGCAATCCAGGGTTATTGAAACGGATAGCATAACCGCAATCCGGTTTGATCAAAATGAAGTGTATGATGAGGATCGTTTGGAGAGGAGGCGTTCGGTGAAGTTCGCGAATCCACCATTGTTAACAAAAGTCATTGAGAGCAAAGAGGAGAAGAAGAACCAAGTTATGGTGAAGAAGCAGGCCAAGAAGCTGAAGCCATTGGCTGCTTGGTTCTTTGCAAGAAACCGGTCTAGTTAACCATTTTAGCAAAATCCTTTGTCTCACGTTTACTCATATATGCCTTACGAATTCTGAAATAATATCCCGGCCCCAAAACTAATGTTCTTAGTTTGGGGATTCATTCAACTTAAATTTGTAACAATTTTCTTGTCGATGTGCAAGTAATTACATAGACAAACGGATCATGTCAAATGTTTTAAGAGATTTTAGCATCCAAAATATCTTATTATATAAAACTTGGTTATTTAAAATTACTAATTAACAAGATTGTGACACATGCCAATTATAAATTTAAGATTGTGACATGTGTTAAATTTGCTCATAATTAATATATATATATATATATATATATATATATATATAATTATTTTAGATAATGACAAAAAGGAATTTTGTTAAAAAAATAATTTAGAAATATTATATAATAGCAATTTTCTATTTTTAAATCCTAAATAAAAGATATTTACAAACACAATATTTGATCATAATTTCCTTTTAATATTATCACATGTATGAAAATATCTTATGATTACAAATATATATACTAAGATAGTACAAAATTTTTTTGAAGATATTAATTTTAAAAATTGTTTAAAAAGAAAAAAAAAAGTTAAACATTTTTTATTGTAGTTTTCCTTTTACAAATACTAAAGAAAATGATTTAAAATCATAAGAAAATGAATTTTGAAAATAATAATTTTAAATACGGTTTGAAAGAAAAAAAAAAGAGTGTTTAATTGCAATTTCCTTATTTTTAATGGAATAAACCATATGTCTACATTGCAGGTCAAAATGACCACTTGTACCGGTAAATCTTTTATTTAAAGGGGGATTTGCCAAAACCAACCTAAAATTTCATTTCAACCCTAAAGGTGTACCCCTTATTGAGTCAAATGCAAAACCAACCTAAAGGGGTTTTGAAGTTACTACTTGACCCTTGTGACCAAACAAAAAAACAGATAGTTATTTTACGGTTCTGTCCTTTGCAAGTCTACACATAATAGAGAGAAGTCTACACATTTGTAGACCTTCATAGAAGTCTACTTTGTAGACGTATTCTAGAGTCTACAAAGTCATTTGATTTTATAATTTAATTTTAAAAATGTATAAAAATAATTTTTGGGAAGTTTTTAAATAAATCATCAGTATAAAGATTAGTATGAAATATATAAATTAAAATTTCATATAAGTGAAAAGTTTAATAGAATTTATATTGAATTGGTAACCATGTGAAAGATAATGTGTTATGGTTTCCCAACAAAATGGTATAACATGCTTTGTCTTTTAGGGTTAGATTCATATATTAGGGTTAGATATTTGATTTCAATTTTTTTTTGTTTTTTTG